AGCCTCAGCTGGCTCCTGGCTGACCCTGCTCCCCTCACTGCTCCCCAGCCTTGGCCCCTCAGCCTTTAACCAGGCACCTGTGGGCAGGACAGGGCCTGCCATGGGCTGGCCCATCGCCCCACCTGGTGGGCATCTGGGGTGGGCCTGCTCGGCACCCCTACCCTCACCCCTTCCAAGCCCTAGTGGACAGCGCAAGAGGGAGGAAGGGGAGGGAGGAGGTGGGCCTGGATGCTGAGGGGGGAGACCCTGCAGTCATTCATTCAACAAGTGCTCGCTGCTCACCACCCTGTGCCGGACCCGGGCCCCCACAGTGGATGCAGGGACTCTGTGCGCAGGTGACAGCGGGGGTGGTGGGAGGAGCGTGCAAGGCCAGGCAGTGCCTAGGCACCAGGCAGAGGCTTACAGGGGGGCTGCTGGGCGGGCGAGCAGGTGGAGGGTGGGGGGCCTGCCGGCGGGGCGGGTGGGGAGGACACCTGCTCTGACTCCCTTTGGGGGCACAGGCAGCCCTCACTCACCGGCAGCAGCCTGGCTCTGTGGGGAAGCCCTCTGCACGCCCTCCGGGGGCCACCGCAGCTCCCCACTCTCCACAGCACCCGCCTCGGTGGGCTCCACCACGATGGAGGGCAGCCGCGGGCCCAGCCGAGGGCCCTTCTCCCTGGCGCCCACCGCAGCCTGCGGGAGGGGGGCAGGGGTCAGCGCAGTGCGGGCCCTGGGCTCCCCACTCCCTCCCACTCCTGTGCTGGACCCTCGCACACACACCCTGGGGTTGGGGCACTTGGCACTGTGGGTCGCAGCTCTCCCTGGGGCCCATTCCACCAGCAGGAGCCCGAGGCTGGCGAGGCCCCATCGCCCGGTGACTGCACTCCCACCCGCCACCTACCCTGCACCGCCCCTTCTGGGGTCTTCCCTGCTGGTCCTTGGCCTCCTCCCTGCTCCGAGGAGCTGGGGAGCGGTTGCCATGGCGACCTGAGCAGCTCACTCCAGGCTCATTGTTCAGTGCCCACCAGAGTGTGCGGGGCGCCTCCCACGCCCTCCATGCCCTGGCATCTCCGCCTCCCATTCAAGGCC